TATATAGATACAAAACAATTTTTTTAAGGAAAAGGAGGAAGAAGAGAAAAAAAAACAACAACCAGCAAAACTGATCAATATGTTGGGGGGGAAAAAAACCTGTGAAACTATACACAATGAACCACACCCTTGGACTTCCCACCTCTGCAAAGGAGTAGGGAAGGTGTCTTTTCATATCTCTTCTTCAAGACTCTGCTTGTTCTGTGTAATTTTGAAAAATCCATTTTTGATGTATTTATGATTGTTCTTTTGACTTATATTGTTGTAATCTTTGTGTATGTTGGTTTCTTGGTTCTGCTCATTTCACTTTGCATCAGTTTGCTTAAGTCCTTTTATGATTCTCTGGATTTATCATATTTGTCATTTCTTACAGCATAGTAATACTCCATTTTATTCATGTTACCATGGTTCGTTCAGCCTCTCCCTAATCAATAGGCGTTTACTTTGTTTCCAGTTCTTTGCTACCACAAAAAGTGTTCCTATAAGTATTTTGGTTTATTTGGCAACTCTGTTTTCATAAATGGCATATAGTCCTAGCAGTGGAATCTCTGGGTCAAAGGCTATGGACATTTAAAGAATATATCTGGAACACTTTCTGAATTTGTATGTCGTCCTTTGCTCAGGGGCCATGCTAATCTCTGCATTGTTCCAATTTTAGTGTTATGTGCTCCCCAAACAAGCACCTGACTGAGCACTTTCAGTGACAGAGAGTTTATCATTTTTTTTTTCTGGTGAGGCAATTGGGGTTAAGTGACTTGCCCAGAGTCACATAGATAGTAGGGGTTACATACCTGAGGCCGGTTTTGAATTCAGATCCTCCTGACTCCAAGACAAGTTGCTCCATCTACTGTACCACCTAGCTGCCCATGAGTTTATTATTTAGCGAAGTAGGCTAGTAGAAATTTTTCAGCTCCAATCTTTAGGAAGTTCTTCCTCATATTGAGCCAAAATCGGCTTCCTTATAGCTTATGCTAGTCTAGAAAGCCCTGGTTCTGCCCTGAACCCTCCATCTGAAAAGATAGTACCATGACAGGAAGCTTGGGTTTGTTTACCATTATGATGGGCAGCTAGGTGGCACAGTAGATAGAGTGCTGGGCCTGATTCTATCTCTCCCAGACCCAACCTCCTCTTTTCGAGTCTTGGGTACCTTGAGTAAGAAAAGGTGGAAGTCGAGCCCTGGGAATGACTCCGGAAGGACACTGAGAGTGATGGTAGGACTTTGAATATGGCTGCAGAGATTTAGGTAAGGAATGAATCTGCGAATCATGAAGGACCTTAAGATTTAGAGCTGGATAGGACCTTGGTGGTCATCTAGTCCATCTAGTCTCATTTTGTAGATGAGGAAACTATCCTCTGGAGAGGTGAAATGATATTCCTAAAGACACGCAGGTTCTAAACTGCAGAAACAAGTGTGAAACTCGTCTTTTGATTCCAAGTGCAGGGGTCTCTCCACTAGATGGGGCTAGACTAGCTGAACTCCAAGGCGGCTTCCAGCTCTGTGTTGATAATCCTCTGAACAAGTCTCTAACCTCAGCTGCCCTATTACTTCATCATCATCGAATAGCATTACTAAGCATATTATTCTATATTTGGCACACTAGCAGCGGAATCCAAAGGCTGTGATAACACCTCCCTCCTTCACTGCACCAACACACACACACACACACACAAAACCATAGCCAAAACTGTGAACTTTTCCTTTCTTCGTTTAACAAAAATGTATTAAGCACCGACTACATGTAATGTCTGAGGGATACAGAGACAAAAATTAAATCATGCTTTCAAGGGGCTTACATTCTACTAGTGGGAAACAATAGAGGCCTTTAAATGCCAGACTGGGAAATTTATATCACATCCTGGTGGCAATGGAAGTCACTTAGGGTTTTTAGTGAGAGGGAGAGGGTAATATGTCCAGATATGTGTTTTAGGAATATTAATTTGGAATCTCTGTCCAGGATGAATTGGAAAGGAGAGAGAGTAAAAACAAGGAGACCATCTAAGGGGGTGCAAAATGATGAAAGCCTGACCTAGATTAGTAGAGTGAATGAACAGAAGAGGAGGGATGCAACAGATGTTGTGAAGATTTGATTGTCCAAGATTGTTAACTGAATGGATATATGGAGCTTGAAAGAGAAAGAAGAGTCAAGGATGACTCCAAGGCTGTGTCGCTAGATGACTAGAAGCCCAGTGGTGGCATCAACAGAAAAGGGGAAGTTTGGAGATGGGATGGGAGGAGGAAGGAATCTAATGAGTTCCATTTTGGTTTTGGGGTTTGTTTGTTTTTTTTTTTGATTAGGCAATTGGGGTTAAGTGACTTGCCCAAGGTCACACAGCTAGTAAGTGTCAAGTATTTGGTCTGAGGCCATGTTTGAACTCAGGTCCTCCTGATTTCAGGGCCTGTGCTCTATCCACTGCACCACCTAACTGCCCCTAACGAGTTCCATTTTGGACCTACTGAGGTTGACATGCCTGTGGTGGAGATATCTGCAGCTGGTGATGCAGGTTCTGGATATCAGGAAAGGAATAAGAGCTAGATGCATAGAATTAGGAGTTTTTGGAATAGAAATGTAATCCTCGGAGCTAATGAGATCAACAAACCAGAATGTAAAGAAAGAAGAGAAGGTGACCCAGGACATAGTCTTGGGTGCCTCCAGCACAACAGATCAGAGAAGAATGGCAATACAACAGGGAGACTGAATAGTCAGGTTGGAGAACTAAGAGAGAGCAGTGAAATAATCTTCATTCTGCACCCCTTTCTCCCTTTGTACTGTATCATCCCACCCTCCCACAGCTACTTAAATCCATTATTTCTCTCCCCCCATCCCAGCTCTCATAAAAGAATATGAAAGGCATTTATGTTAAGATGCAGGTGATTGATAGACTAGAAGTATCATCCTTCCCAGAGGAATCCAGAAATTAAGGATTATTTCTCGAATATCTACCATATCCTCAGCACTGTCTTATGTATTGTAGAATTTAGGAGAGAAGAATGAGCTGATTCCTGTTATCAAGAAATTCCCAGCTCAGCTGGAGGGATTAGACATACAGACACAAACACATACAACGTAACAAACAAACTATATTTAATGATTAATCGTGCAGTACTGTATTTGCATTTTGATTGGGCTACAAAGTTTGGGGAACAGAAGGTCTAACTAGGATTTCAGGCATCTGTCAGCAGTTGGGGGAGGGGGTGATTTTTTAAGCAAAGGTCCTTAAATCCTATTGCACTGTGGTTTTCAAAATGCATCTATGCCTTATCTTCAATTTGTTCGGGATGGGCAGAGGCAAGGTAATGGGGGTGAGAGGCAGGTTGGCCATTAGAGAAGTGGAATCTGGGTGCGTGAGGCTCTGGGGAGACCTCACAGTCCTTGGGAAAAGGATGAAAAAGGGGTCCTTGAGGTCACTAAAATGTAAGCTTCCTGAGGGCAGGCAGGGCCTGTTTCATTTTTTTAATCTTTGTATTTTCAATGCCAAGAACGGAGAAGACGTTCAATAAATGTATGTTTAATTGTCTTGCATTCAGTCTGTGGCTGGAGATCGGGGGCCAGGCAGCGGCTGAGAATGTGGAAGAAGTGGCTGTTCAGGGGCACGGCGTGGGGGAGGGACAGAGGCAGAGGAGCAGGGGCCTGGACGCAGGAAGGGGGTGCGGAGGGGAAGGGGGGAGACAGCTCCGCCGGCCACCCGGGGTTGGGGGTGGGGCCGCGGCTGTCCCCGCCCCGCACGCAGCTCGCTGCCCCGGCCGCGGCGGCTCCGGGAGCCTGGGAGAGGCGGAGCGCTGTCCGGCCTAGGCGCCGGGGCGGAGCGCGGCACGGGGGAGTGGGGTGCTGAGGGGCGTGCTGTGCGGTGCCCGCTGTGCGGAGCCCGGAGGCGCCAGGGCCGGCGGGCCCCGCCAGCCCCCCCGCCCTTCCCTGCTCCTTCCTGTCTTCTGCTCCCTGCTCCGGACGCGAGGCCGGCCGGCCGGCGCTGGGAATGTGAGAGGCAGCGAAGCGGGCCGGCCGGGGGCCCAGACAGGCGCCGAGGAGGAGGCCGGAGCCCCAGGACGGTAAGGTGCCTGCGCCCGGAGCCCTACGGGACGAGGACTAGGGAGCCACGGGGGTAAAGAAGTGGAATGGGGGCGCAGCAGCCTTCCCTCGGCTGCAGCAGCTCAGAGTCACTTGGGGGCTGGGGCTGCTGGACCAGCTGTTTGTGGCGTAAGGACGGAGGTGAGGAGGAGGAGGAGGTGCTGGTGGGATGCTCAGATGATTGGCAGGCGGAGTGGTGGAGGTCAGAAACAGAGGCAACCGCTTATGTGAGCGGTTGCTTGGTAGGAGGCATCCTGGGCATTGCTTGTTTTCAGTTGCACTTTGAGAGCCCCACAGCTATAAGAGTATGGACCCACAGGGTCTTGGACAGAGATACTGGGTCTAGGAGAGTGATTGGCCTGCTGGTCCTACCTGGTGGCTTGTAGGATGTGTGTGGGGGCTGATTACTGGTGCCTCAATCAGTCTGTTCCCTCAGCTCTACCCCCCCACCTCCACCAGCTCTGGCCCTGGCCTGGGCCCAGCCTCCTAGGGCTAAAAATAATGCCTAGAGGCACCAAGCCTGGATTATATTAAGTAGGACACAGCTCCTTCTTTCTGTAGCAAGGCAGCCCCAAGTCTTTCCAGGCTTCTGGGTCCAGGCATGATGCTGTAGTGTTCCAGCTTATGTGCAGTATCAGTACCCAGGCCAAGATTTTTGTCCTTACACCCAAAGAATAGAACACCCATAATCCCTAGGAGGGGCCTGGTATGTAAATGGCTTCACTCCAAAATAGAGGTTGTGTTTGGCTCACCATCTCCCCTGAGGAAGCTTTAAACTTTTTAGAGACCAGATTTGCTTCCAGTTTCAGTGATGGTGACCTGGGAGGCCAAAGAAGTCTTTCCTGCCTAGCACTCACTAGAGTCACTCACTAGAATTCTAGAACTGTCAGACTTTATCCTGTGCTTTTAGCATCACAATATAAGGGAATGACAATAGATACACTTTGTGCTGGCAGTATACCAAGCAGCTTGTCCAGTATTTTCAAGGGAGCCACCATGGTATCCAGTCGTGTAAAGAGAACAGGTGAGACCTGGGATTGAATCCGGGCTCTAATACTTAATAGTTGTATGACCTTAAGCTGAGCTTGCGGGAAGGACTTAGCTCCTTCCCTGCTTGCTCCCAACAAAGAGTTCCTTCTTAGGCTTCCCACTAAGAAAGAGGCCACACACTTGTGTCTTAGTTCTTGTCCGTGACGACAGAATCAACTGAGAACTAGGTTCCCAGGCCAAGGAAGGCATCAGTTCCCAACTTGGGAATCGATGCCTTCCTTGGCCCTGGGAGCTACTTTGCTTGGGGCCAGGAAAACAGAACTGACTTGTTGGTCTGATTTCTCATTTATTCATTGTGTCACTTGATGGGAGGAGAAGAGCTATTGGGGCATGTAGATAGTGTTACCCCTCCTACAGGTGCGTGCAGGGGGACCGGTATGAAGTTGAAGAAGCAAGTGACAGTGTGTGGGGCAGCCATCTTCTGCGTGGCCGTCTTCTCCCTCTACCTCATGCTAGACCGAGTACAGCATGATCCCACCCGGCACCAGAATGGAGGCAACTTCCCCCGAGTGAGTCCTGTCTCCTGATGACTAGGATCTTTATTGGCCAGGTTCTCTAGGTTCAAATAATTTTCACAGTTCTGGATGTGTATATAATTGCCAGAGCTAGTGACCCTACCACCCACTGGGCCAGTACTCTCAGGCTGGTTTCCTGTTAGTTATTTCTAAAACCTCCACTGATGTCCTCTTCTGGTGTCCAGAAGCGACCTGGGACCTTGGAGGCCACGCCTGAAGAACACAAACTCTGGCAGGTCCTCACAAGCTGTGGCAGTTGTTCAAAGACCAGTCAAATTAAGTTTGGAGAGCCTCATGCCACGTTGACCAGAGTGATTACTTTTTTGAGGCCACAGTAATTCTCAAAGACCATCTCCTAAGTCCTCATGGGGTTTTGATTTACACAGGTAGAGGGAATATTCATAGCAGGAAAGGTATTGAAGGCGGCATATCTAAGTCCAAGGTCTGTGGGGTAGGTCCCCAAGAGAAGGCCCTAGCCTTTGTGCAGTATCACCCCTACCCATTCTATGCAGTACACCACTATTAGGCCAGAAGATCCCAGAATAAAGAGTTCTGTGAACTGCATGGTTTGTAGGCTTCAAACAAGATTCATCTTGAATTCACCTTCATCTTGAATAGAGTCCATCTTTCCTCCTATCCTTGTGTTTCTATGCCCTTGTTGGAGCAGAAAGGATCATGGCCAAATCCCAGGTGGTTGCCCTGAAGTAATTCTCATTCCTGGCCTAGGATATGGTAACTAATTGCCCATAGTAACTCATTGGCAGAGCCAGATCTCAGTGCTGCAGAACCGAATTGAACAACTAGAACAGCTGCTGGAGGAGAATCATGAGATCATCAGCCACATCAAGGACTCAGTGCTTGAGCTGACAGCCAATGCGGATGGCCCTCCGGCTTTGCTCCCTTACCACACCCCCAATGGCTCATGGGTGGTACCACCTGAGCCCCGGCCTAGCTTCTTTTCCATTTCCCCCCAAGACTGCCAGTTTGCTCTGGGGGGGCAGGGCCAGAAGACAGAGCTCCAGGTGAGCATCAGGGAGGTAGTGCGATGGTTGGGGACCGCAGTGACCACACCTAAAAGATACTTAGCCATTCCCTCACCCAGCAGATGCTCACGGTGTCCGAGGAGCTGCCCTTTGACAATGTGGATGGTGGGGTGTGGAAGCAGGGCTTCGATATCCCCTATGGCCCCCATGACTGGGACTCAGAAGACCTCCAGGTGTTTGTGGTACCCCATTCCCACAATGACCCAGGTAAGGGGGAAGCCCCTGGTGAGGGAAGGAAAAGGGGGATTATTCTTCTTAGCCCTTGATGTATAACTGGGCTTCTGGTAGTACCACTTAGTCCTAGATCCCCCCGGCTCAGTGTTTGGAAGGGCAAGCTTCTTTGTGTTGAGATAGAGAATCTTTTTTATAATAGTAATAGTAATAGTAGCTGACGCTTGGATGAGATTTTACACTTTATAAAGCATTTTACATGCATCATTTTTATTTAATCTTCACAACAACCCTGTGAGTTACAGAGGGCAAGCATTATTATCTCCATTTTAATGAGGAAATTAAATGGTTTGCCCAAGGTTACCCACCTGGTAATTGTCAGAACCAGATAATTGTCAGAACTCAAACCTAGATCTTTTAACTCCAAGTTCATTCTTCTTCCCACCACAGCATAGCTGTCCCAGTCTTTGGGAATAGTCTTCAATGGGGTTCTCTCCCGGAGCATCTCTCTTGTTGTTTTTTCCAGGCTGGATCAAGACTTTTGACAAATACTACACAGAACAGACACAACACATCCTTAACAGCATGGTGCCCAAGCTGCAGGAGGACCCGAGGCGACGCTTCCTCTGGGCTGAGGTCTCCTTCTTTGCAAAGTGGTGGGAGAACATCAATGCTCAGAAGAGGGCAGCAGTACGAAGGCAAGTGTGCATGGGCCTGTTGGTACCGATGGAAGGGACTAGAGTATACAGCTAGAGGAGAGAAGGAAAGCAGATTGGAAAAAGGCCAAGGGAGAGGGGATGCGGAAAGAGGTTTCCCTAAACACCGTGTGCTGCAGAAGACAGGGGGAGAAAGAGTACCAGAGGAAAAGTGAGATGGCAGAGTGGTGGCCAAGGAGACTTTTAGAGAATAGTTGGCCAAGTAGATAAGCATCACCTATGGAAAGAGGAATCATAGTTGGACGAATGTAAAGGAAAATGATGTATTAAAAAGATGGACATCAAGGAACTAGGGAGAAGCAGTGGAAACCATAGGGTTGGAGTTTGAAGGAAACCTTGAGTAGAGAAGAGAAGCCCACTGTTGGGAAATGAGTGACCTTGGTATTACTGCCAAGTGAATTCCCCTTTCCTGCCCCTCATTGTCCATAACTGATGTAAGCTGGCCTGACTAGGCTCTTGTTAGGCCAAGGTGGTCATTCTCTCTGGCTCTGGCTGGCAGTGTTAGCCTAGGGATGGGCACTGGGACCTGGAACTATTCTGAGTGGGAGCCCTTGGCCTGCAGGTTAGTAGGAAATGGGCAACTGGAGATAGCAACTGGAGGCTGGGTGATGCCTGATGAAGCCAACTCCCACTACTTTGCGTTGATCGACCAGCTCATCGAAGGGCACCAGTGGCTGGACAAAAACCTTGGTAAGCCCAGGATGGGCTATTAGCTTTTTTTAAAAATTAAATTCATTATTTTTTCAATTAAAAGTTTATTTTCTTTTCTCCCATTTTCACCCTCTCCCCACCTCCCACCCCCAACACACACATACATTGGAAAAAAAAAGAAAAACAACATTCTTAAACTGAATATGCAGAGTCAAGCAAAACAAAATTCCACATTGCCCATATCCAGAAATACGTGTTTCATTCTACATCTTGAGTCCATCACCTCTCTGTCAGGAGACATGGGTAGTATAAATTATCATCAGTCCTCTGGAAGTAAGTTTTTCCAGAGACTTTTTCACCTTCTGAGCAGGAGGAAATCACGATTGTGCTAGGCATGGGTATTGATGAAAAGGGGTTAAGGGTGAGCAGCGTATCCATGTCAGGAGTGCCTTTCATAGACATCAGTTTCCCTTTAGTTTGGAGTGGTATTCACCTAGACTGTTTTCAGAGGCTTAGGTCTCATTTAGCACTTTGTGAGAATTTTCAGGGTGTTGGGGGGGTGTCCAAATGGAATAGACAAAATTCAGAAAGGTACTCAGCACCTCCGGCTTTCCTCTTTTCCTGCTCAGGTGTGACCCCACGCTCTGGCTGGGCCGTAGACCCTTTTGGACACAGCTCAACCATGCCTTACCTACTCCGACGCTCAAACCTAACCAGCATGTTAATCCAGAGAGTGCATTATGCTGTCAAGAAGCACTTTGCTGCTACCCACAGTTTGGAGTTCATGTGGAGACAGACATGGGGTAAGGGCTGATGTGGAGTTGAGTCCTGAGAAAGGGGCATCTGTGGCAAAAAAAAAAAAAGAGGCTGTGTTCAGAGAGAAAAAGGCAACAAAGGGGTAAGTTCCTTTCTCAGCTGTCCCTGGGATCAGACCATCTGCAGCATGGAGAGCAAGTTTTCTTTTTCTTTTCTTTTCTTTTTTTAGCTAGGCAATGAGGTTAAGTGACTTGCCCAGGGTCACACAGCTAGTAAGTGTTATGTATCTGAGCTGGATTTGAACTCGGGTCCTACTGAATCCAGGGCCAGTGCTCTATCCACTGCACCACCTAGCTGCCTGGAGAGCAAGTTTTCTTTTGCATAAAAGCTTATTATGTTGGCTTTTCCTCAGCCCTCCTTCCTGGCCTCCAGATACTCCTGCTTCCATCCTTGATTTCCTGAGAATTTAAATAATAATAATAGTGTATACGTAAAGTATTTGTATAATACCTTAAGATTTATGCTTTACATATGTTATTTCATTTGATCCTCACAACATTGTGAGGTAGGTGCTATTTATGCTCCCCATTTGACAGATAAGGAAATGGAGGCTAAGAGAAATTAATGGGCTTGCCCAAGGTAACACAGCTAGGTAGTGTCTATGGCAGAATTCACACATAGGTCTTCCTGATTCCAAGTCCAGTGTTGTATCCACTAGGCCACCAGCTATCTCATGACCTTCTTTCCAAAAGATAAAAGATGTGCCTTGGCAGGCATATCTGTCCCACTTTGGAAAGTAAATTGACAGGTGATGAATTAAAGCATTGTCTTATTAAGGACTGCAGGTGATTCTTTGCCTGAGGTAGTCTCCTGCAACTGAGGAAATAATCACTCACCTGTCTCCATTTCTCTGTTGCCTTAACTGACTGTCCTCACTCCTAGTTCACATTCTTGTTACTTCTTATTGATTCCTCATCTTGGGAGGCTTCTTGCTTTCTTCTAGGTCTTACTTTGCCCATGGGCAACCTTATGAATGCCTATTCCTTGCTCCTCATAAGCACAGTGTTTGTCATTTAATTAAATGCCTAGTTAACACTTGTTGGTTATGCCTTCTGCAGACCCAGATGCCAGCACGGACATCTTTTGCCACATGATGCCCTTCTACAGCTATGATGTGCCACACACCTGTGGCCCTGACCCCAAGATCTGCTGCCAGTTTGATTTCAAGCGTTTGCCTGGTGGGCGAATCAACTGTCCCTGGAAGGTGCCACCCCCGAGCCATCACAGAGACTAATGTGGCCGAGAGGTACCTGTCTGCAGCTCAGGGCCTACCTTATGTAGTATAGCTGCTTATACCCTCAGAGATCTGTTGTTACAAAGCCTAGCTGAGGCTCTCTGGAACAGCTGTAGCAGACCTCTCCAAGAGTCTTTTCTGCCAGCAGTCCTTAAGAGTCCTTAAGAAGCTGGCTAACTCTGAGGCAAAACATTTCCAGAGCTGGTACACTTCCTTATAAATCATAAATTTCTAGTTATCCCAAACCTCTCATAGGGAACCTGGATCATTGGGTCCTCAGTGTTCAACAGAACTAGGGGTTTTATTTATTTTAGGATTGGAGTCTTAGAATGGGTTTCTTTGGAAGTGGAAGTGGAAAGCTTTGAGACCAGAGTCATTTTTAATGGAACCACACCTTTTGAGTAAACTTATTGGGACCCAAATGGTTTTTGCCTGATCTAGAACAGCCACTAGAATAAGTGTTCTTAACCTGGATTTTGATAACTATTTCAATCTAATTGATTTCATTTGTAAACTTATGTGTTTTATTTTATGCATTTAAAAGAATTATTCTGAGAAGGAGTACCTAGACTTCACCAGGTTACAAAGGGATCCATGACACACAGAAAGTTAAGAATTTCTGCTTCAGAATGTAGCAGATTGAACAGTCAGCTTTTTATTTTAGGATTCCTAGAACACAACCATCAGTGATTCCATAATTCCTCCAGTTGTCACCTCCCATGTTGCCTTGCCTTTCCTCTCATGCTACAGGCCTGTGATACAGTATTATCTTCACCTCCCCCCAGGGCAGCCTTGCTTCTGGACCAATACCGAAAGAAATCCAAGCTGTTTCGAAGCAATGTATTACTGGTACCACTTGGTGATGACTTCCGTTATGATAAACCCCAAGAATGGGATGCCCAGTTCTTCAATTACCAGCGGCTCTTTGACTTCCTCAATAGCCAGACTGACCTCCGTGTGCAGGTGTGATGGCTGCAACTAAGAGCTGAGGGTTAGGGTTGACTTGGAGAATGCAAGTTGGGATTAGTGTATGGGGTAGTTAGCACTGCTGCAGCCCTGTTAGGGACAGCACACCTTACTACTGACTCAAAAAGAAGACATTACATGTGGTAGGTTTCCCAGTTTATATCAGAATACCCAAATATTCCCCTGGGAACAGCTGGGATAGGTAGAGTTGGTCTATCTAAAATGGAAACTATCTGTAGCCATCTGTAGGCAGCTAGAGTTCCTATGGAGCTATGCTACCTACGATGCTAATGGGAGCTGGGATTATATGTCCTCACAGGCCCAGTTTGGCACTCTATCTGATTATTTTGATGCCCTGTACAAGAAGACAGGGGTGGAGCCTGGTGCCCAGCCTCCAGGTTTTCCTGTGTTGAGTGGGGATTTCTTCTCTTACGCTGACCGAGAGGATCACTACTGGACAGGCTATTATACCTCCAGGCCTTTCTACAAGAGTCTGGACCGGGTCCTAGAGGCCCATCTGCGGTGAGAGACCAGGCTTATAAATGAAGGAATGATTGGGGCCTGGGATTCAAAGAAAGGGATAGGACTGAGGGCCAGGTGGACCGTTGGAAAGTAGAAGGGAATAGAAAGGAGGTTAAGAAAGGGTGGGATAACTGTGGGATAGGATCACAGAATTTCTGAGTTGGAACGGATCTCAGTGGCCATTTAAATAGTAAGATCCATAAAAATATGGAAATTCAAGTGGCAGCTAGGTGGCGCAGTGAATAGAGCTCTGGCCTTGGAGTCAGGAGGACCTGAGTTCAAATGCAGCTTCAGACACATAACACTTAATAGCTGTATGACCTTGGGCAAGTCACTTAACCCTGATTGCCTCACCAAAAAAAAGAAAAAAGAATATGGGAATTCAATTCATAAGGATATAGAAATTCAGTGAGTTTAGGTTTGGAGCTAAAGAAGGGAGGAAGGTCCAGGTTAACTGAGAAGGGAGAAGAAACTAGGAAATTGTGTGGGTGGTATCAAGGAAAGGGATAGTAACCTCTCTCTCTGGGGCAGGGGCGCAGAGATCCTGTACAGTCTGGCACTTGCTCACACCCGGCATTCTGGCGTGACCAGTCAGTACCCACTATCAGACTACACCCTGCTGACTGATGCCCGTCGCACCCTAGGTCTCTTCCAGCATCATGATGCCATCACTGGTACTGCCAAGGAGGCAGTGGTGGTGGACTACGGGATCCGGTGGGACCCTAGTACTTTCCCTTTGGGGGCAAACAGTACTAGATAGATGGGTTTGGTGGGAAGTAGGCAGAGTGAGGGAAAAAGTGGGAAGCTTGAGAACAAGACATTTCCCCAAACTGATTTCTTTTCCTTCTCTCCTTCCTTCTTTGCCTCTCCTACCTTTGCCTTATAGACTTCTGCGTTCTCTTGTGAGCCTGAAACAGGTCATCATCAATGCCGCGCACTACCTGGTGTTGGGGGACAAAGGAACCTACCATTTTGATCCCAATACACCTTTCCTCAGCATGGTGAGAGATGCCACTGGGCTACTATTCCCTATTTTTGCCTTTGGGAATTCTGTCCTAAGAGTGGTATGGGAGAGCTGCCCTGCCCTCATCATACTTGCTCTGAGTTTTGAGCCCTGTGTGTAGAGCAGGTGTCCTGAGTCCATCTGCCTTTGCCTGAATGAACAGCTGCAAAGCCTGGTAGGAAATTAGATGTAGGGTAGATACAGGCATCTGATCTGATCTTGGCCTTTTCTGTCTCCATAGTTATTTTCTCTTCATTATTATCTTTAGTCATTTAACCAGTATGCATTTATCACCTGCCTACTATGTGTCAGGTACTATGATAGTTACTGGAGTTGCAAAGACAAAAATGAAAGTCCTTGCCCTCAAGAAACTTACATTCTGTTGGGAGAGACCTGTATACATATATCTATCTGTGAAATAAATACATAACTTTATTCCAGGATGACACACGCTTAACCCAGGATGCCCTGCCTGAGCAGACTGTGATTCGAATGGATTCCTCACCTCGGTGAGCAGTTAGACTAGGCTTCTCTCAGAATTCTTTTTACTCTTAACACCCCAATCCCATTGTGTCCAGCCCCTTCCCATCTTCAAAGACCAATTCTGTGTTTAATTCTCTTTGGGAAGCCCCTTCTCTGGTCTAGCTTTACCCATTTGCCTGGCAGGTTTGTGGTACTGTTCAACCCCCTGGATCAGGAGAGGCTCAGTGTTGTCTCTTTGCTTATTAACTCTCCCCGGATCCGGGTCCTCTCTGAGGAGGGCCAGCCCTTGGCCGTGCAGCTCAGTGCCCACTGGAGCTCTGCCACTGACATTGTGCCTGATGTCTATCAGGTAGGTGCCAAGGGGAGGGACCCAAAGTGGCTCTGGGGGATCGAGAGTGTAAGCTTCAGGTTGGGATGGAATAAATGTCAGCTTGAAGTCTGAATCTTATGATTCACTGATGAACACCTGCCTCTTCCTGGAGTTCCCAACCTCTCCCTATTCTAGTACCTCATTGTGTTCATCAACATGAGTCTTCCTGTCTTTACTCATCCTTTTTTTCTGTTGCATTGCTCGGTCCCATTTTGGGGGATAGGCTATGGGCTGAGACCTTAGCAGCTGAACTCAACCTGAACTTGGGAGAGGTGAGGAGGCTGCTCTGGTCTTATTTTTTACCTTGCATTGAGCAGGTGTCTGTGCCAGCCCGCTTACCCGCCCTGGGTCTCAGCATCCTGCAGTTGCATCCAGGCCTAGATGGGCGCCGCACCCTGCCCTCCTCTGTGCGTATCTACCTGCATGGCCGCCAGCTGTCTGTCAGCAAGCATGAGATCTTCCCCATGCGTGTCGATGAGACTGGGACCAGTGACTTTGCCCTCAGCAATCGCTACATGCAAGTCTGGTTCTCAGGCCAAACTGGGCTCCTCAAGGTAAAGGAGAGGGCTAGGAGAAGAGGTGAAGGGAGGGAAAGGAGAGCTGGGGAGAATAGGACCAGGATTAGTAGAGTTAAGTGGGGAGGTCCCTTAGGGTAAGTCAGAGATGTCACCAGGCTCCAAAGGTAACCAGGGTTGGGGATGGAGGGGTCCCCTGACTGATAGAGAAAGAGAGAGATTTGGGCCTCAGAAACAGATAGAATGACCACAGTATGCTAGGGAGTACCTGGAATGCATTTCCTTTAAGATGATTGTCAGTCTTTTCCCTGGGTGGGCTGGTCTGATATTCTGGGATGGGGCCAGGGGTCAGGGCTATGTTTGTTGGCAGAGCGTCAGAAGGGTGAATGAAGCACAGGAGCATCGATTAAGTACCGAGTTCCTCATCTACGGCACCCGAACCTCCAAAGACAAGAGTGGCGCCTACCTTTTCCTGCCTGACGGTGAGGCCAAGGTACGGGCGCTCTTAGAACTGTGCCAGTGAGATACTGAGCGTGAGCATGTCGCTCCTTGCTCAAACCAAACCTCTGGTAAAATCCATGCTTACCACCGCGCCATCAGTTGGACCGTGGGCAGTCTGATTAAGAGATATACATGGAGAGGTGCAACACAAGTGGTGGTCACAGGGCCTGAGTTAGGTGGCTCAGTAAATAAGAGTACTGGACTTGGAATCAGGAAGACCTGAATTCAAATCCTGCCTCAGAGAATTACTAGCTGTGTGATCCTGGACAAGTCATTTTATCCTTTCTCAGCCTCAGTTTCCTCATCTGTAAAATGGGGGTAAAAGTAGTACCTCACTCACAGGATTGCTGTGAGGACCAAATGAGGTAACGCCTGTAACTCATTTAACCCTTCTCTTCCTGTTTCCTCCTGTGTAAAATGGGAGAAGAGTCCTGTTGATCACAGCTAGAGACAGTGTGGTCTGGTGGAAAGAGCGCTGGATTTTGAATCGTAAGACCCAAGTTCAGTCTCTCCTGCCCCTTACTTTACAAGTCTCTTAGCTATTTCTGGAGCTTATTTCCTTATCTGTAATAGAAGGATAATAATGCGTGTCTCACAGAGGTCTTGTCGGGACACGATTAGATACCAGGTGTCGTGTACTGTATAAATGTAAGTTGTTGTTATTGTTATTAACCAGGTTAAGGGGTCCATTCCTCTTAGTTTATTCACTGTGCTGTGATGCTCAGCACCTGCCTGCTCTGTTCCTAGACCTATGTCCCCAAGGAGCCCCCTGTTCTTCGGGTCACCGAAGGCCCCTTCTTCTCAGAGGTCGTTGCCTATTACCAGCACATGCAGCAAGTGGTTCGACTCTACAACTTGCCAGGTGAGTCCCAAGGGAGAAATGTATGCCCCGGGATCAGAAGTAGTCCTTAGGGAGAGTGGTATGGCCAATGGAGAAACGCTGCTCCCAGGCCTGTGCTCCTACCTTTAACGTTGCCATATCAACCAGGACATGCCTTCTAAAATTTTTCTAAATTTTATTCTGAGAGTGTTACAATGATTCTTTTTTTTGGGTGGGGGGAATCACTATTTCTATACCTCCCTCCCCCTTTAATGAAGAGAAAGGCAGGGGGAAGGTAACAAAGCCAAAAACACTGAAGCAAAATGAATCCATACAGTGGCCATGCAAGTCGTCGCTTTCATGGTTGAAAGGTCATTCCCTTCCTCTTCCAACACTATCTCATCTCCCTATCTGTTTGCCTCACTCACCTCCCCCAGGGGTGGAGGGTCTCTCCTTAGATGTGTCCTCCCTTGTGGACATCCGAGATCATGTAAACAAGGAGCTGGCACTTCGTATCCAGACAGATATTGAAAGTGAAGGCACCTTCTTCACAGACCTCAATGGCTTCCAGGTATGACACCTTGGGATAAGACTTTGGGAGTCCTTCTAGACAGGGCTCTCTCCATCTCTTCTACTCCTGTTGAAGGCACTAGTTGTCAGTCCTAGTTTAAGGAGGAGGGGGGGCAAGCAAAGAGTTCTTGACCTGGGGTCAGTGAGCTTTTATTCAATCTTTTATTTTTTAAAAATGTTGAGTTCCAAATTCTCTCCACTAGCCCCTCCTCCACCCACTGAGAAGGCTATGACATGATGTTATACATGTGAAGTAATTTAAAACGTATTTCTGTATTAGCCAGCCAATGAGCTTTAAAAAAAAACAAAACAAAACTGATCGACTATTTCACTATGATGGTTTCCTTTATAATTCTGCATATTTTACTGTATGCATTATTCTTGGAAAGAGTTCATAGGCTTCATCAGACTGCCAAAGGGAATCATGACACAAGAAAGGGCATGGGGGATAAAGGGCAGAGGCGAGGCAGAGTCTGAGTTCCAGGAAGATACCCAGCTGCCTCTCATGGGCCATGTGTTACCATCCTCTCCAGATACAGCCCCGTCGGTATCTGAAGAAGCTTCCGCTGCAGGCCAACTTCTACCCCATGCCAGCCATGGCCTACATCCAGGATAGCCAGAGCCGCCTCACCCTGCACACCGCTCAAGCCCTAGGAGTCTCCAGCCTCAGCAGCGGTGAGTGGGCATGCCATGCTGCAGTTGTAGTGGAAGGATCATTCAACCACACCAGCTCCAGCTAGTTTATGACTTAGCACAGTACTAATGGGACATAGCCCTTCATTGGCTTCTAACCATGTCTCCAGCCTGGCGTGACTTTTTTACATAGAGGGTTGGTACAAAGAAGGAAGAAAAGAGTGTGGTATTTGTATAATTGTATCACCACCCATCTAGCTGTATTGGCAGTAAGCAGATCCATGAAGGGTGTGGGGAAGGAGGCCAACATGCATGCTTTTTTACCTGGAGAGATGTGGTAAAAAAACAAAAAACCCCCCCGCAAGTCTGCATTCTAGTCTTAGCTCTGCTACGATCTAGCTGCTTGATCTTGGGAAAATCACTCAACCTCTCTGGGGTCTCATAAAAAATTAACCGGTTGCCCTGGATACCTTTAGTAGGTCCAGTTCTAAAATTTTGTGATCTATGACCTAAGTAAGGGGTTGGATCCATTCAGGGTGCAGATAGGACATAACCGTTACAAGCCTCAGTAATAAGGAACTGTCAGGGGCAGCAGCTGATTATCATGAGGCATGTTGCTGACTGGCAGGCCCCTCATTGGCTTTCTGTACCTTTATGATTTCGAAGAGCCAGGTATCCCAAGCCCAGTGACCAGCTGCCTTCACAAAGTTCACATCACTCTGCTTTGTGTAGCTACTTGACAGCTTGTTACTGTAACAAAAGAGTGGACGTAATTTATAATGGGCGTGATCCATTTCTCTGCTCCCTCTGGGATGTGAGTGTAAATATTAATTAGTTATTTAAATCTGTGTACAGGGTAATCCACTTTTTAAAACTTCTTTTTAAAAAAAGAAAAAACAAAAACAAAACTTCTTTTCTGTTTCAGTGATATCATAGGAGAAAAAAAAAAGGATGAGGGTCAAATCCACAGAAGATAGAACAAGCATGTGTGCACTGAGACTGAAGTAGAAAAAATCAAAAGAATAGAAGGCTTAAGTTACTAAATTAAGTTAGAAGACAGCTATGAACTCTTACGAAAGAGCTGAGAAAATAGGGAGACACAGATTGCAAGCATATGTCTATCTTGAAGACTTAGGTTAGCTTTGCAAGGGCCATTATCTTCCAGGCCTTATAGTTACTTTAAAAGACTTTTTTATTGATATCTTTGTTTCTACATCATCTAGATTTCCCTGTATCACTCCCTTTTTCCTATTTCAAAATGTTTTTAAACAAAGAATTAACCAAAAAATAGGATAAAGGAAAAAAATTCAGTTCAAAACTGTACAACACAGAAAAAATCTGATGTTATATGCAATGTTTTAACATGACCTCTGCAAAGGAGATGGGGTTGGGGGGAGAGATGTCTTCTCTCACCTCTTCTTGGGGGCTGAGTTTTTCTTTATAATTTTGCAACATGCAGCTTAATTTTCCATTTACATTATTATAGTCAGTGTGCATATTTTCCCCCGGCTGTGCTTGCTTCACTTTGCAACTGTTTCTATGTCTTTCCATATTTCTCTGTATTCATCCTGTTCCTTACAGCACTGTAATATTCTAGTACTTTCATGTACCACAGTGTTTAGCCTTTCTCCAATCAATGGGCATCTATTTCTAGTTCCTTGCTACCATAAAATATTTTGGTGTATATGGGGAATTTCTTATTAATGACCTCCTGGGGGCATCTGCCTGATAGTTTAACCTCTGAGTCAAAGGGCATGCACATTTTAGTCACTTAATTTACATAATATTGACTTGCTTTCCAAAATGTTTGTACTGATTGTCCCACAGCTCCACCAGTAATATTGTAGTCATTTTCATTAACAATGCAGTTATGTAATGAAAGAATACTGACTACGAGATAATAGAACAAGATTCTAATCCCATTGTACTCAGTGTCCCAATCTGAAACTGGAAGGAGGGAGAGAACACCAGTTGGAGATAAGGAAAGGCTTTCCAGAAGAAGACAGAGCCCAAGCTGAGCCTTCAAGGAAGCCAGGGGTTCTAAGAGGCAGAGATAAGAAAGTGCATTTTAGGCATGAGGAACAGACAGTCTGTGCCAAAGAGATAGCAGGTTGGTTCTGAAGAACAGCCTCAGTCCAACACTCCCATCCAACTTGGCAGGTCCTTTTTTCTTTTTTTTTATAAACATGAAACACATACTTTATTAATTTTTCTATAGAACATCCCTGTTGAAAATACATTTAAAACATATTCTTTTATACTTAGATGTAATGCTATACAGTATGAAATAATGGTAATGGAATAAGCAAAAGTGATTTATTTCATATCTGCATTCATAAACAAAAGACTGCAGAAATAGTCTGAAGAAACAAGGAAATAAATTCAAATTTTCTAGTAGAGTACTATTTATTTGGACAATGACATAATGACCTTGGTCCTTCTTGGAAGAAGTATACTGCTTACTATGTTGATGTGAATTAACTCTTTTCAATCACTATTGTCCCATATTCAGTAGATTTCTAAGCCATTCTCCAGTGCTGATCACCTGGTACAGGTATAGTGTTAGTCAATCCGCTTTAAACAGCTACAGTGGAGGTTTAACAAGAAATATGGAAATTAACATTAACATTATTTTCCTAGAAATTTTTCTAATTTGTAATATACTTGCAAATTTCTTTTTAATTTTTTTTTAAAAATTTGATATTCTGTCCCTCCTAGTATCTTAAGTTGCCAAATGAGATTATGGGCAATGCAGAGTCAGAGCTTATGAGCCACCTAGCACCTACTGAAAAGAAATCTTACATGTGGCCAAAGAAATTCTTTGCTAAGATCAAAAAGCTATTAGGTTCTTATGTCTAAAGAGCACAATGAAAATTTATTAAATTTAATTTATATATAATAATATATTAATATAATTAATATTCCTATATAATCAATATAATACAATATACATAATACATATTTTATATAATATATAGATATATAATATATAATAATCATATATAATAAACATATACAAATATAAATTTAATTAAAATAAATTTAATCAAGAAATTTGGAAAATGTAGCTAGTGGTCTGAAAAGCTAAGAAGGATGGATATTTGATAGCTGAGATAGCTGATAGGTGAGATAGACTGACATGTGACCATCACAAGCAGGGGAGGCAAAAGCAACACCTTGAGGACAATATGAAGTCAAACTTCGAACAACTTGATAAAAGCAAGGAATGATGGCCAAAAACACTTCATTAGATTACATGGAGCAAGCTAATAACAAAGGGAATAACTTTGAGCAGAACCATAAGGGAGAAGATGCAGTCACTGGCAGTTGAGTTTGGTCACATATAAACCATAATCCTCTCTGTTTATCATTAGGCTATCTTACAGACCTGTCTCATAGATGGGTGTACCAGGTGATGAAACTTCAAAAACCCCCTAATGGAAAAGAAATTATAGTTGCAAAGCCATCTAAGGTCCCTATATGCAACTCAGTGACATAATTATTGTTGGTATCTTGGACTTTTCAATTACACGTGCAAAGATGGATAGCAACATTGCCAGTAGCACCATTTTTGAGACCGAAGACAATCCATGGCATTTCCTAAATGGTACCCTTGTGCCTGAGTTCACATACCTCCAAAAAGTAAACACTTTGCTCCCAAGGAAATTAGCTATTTATCTAAAGTATAATCCTAATTTTTTTTTTTTTGCTTTTTGGTGAGGCAATTGGGGTTAAGTGACTTGCCCAGGGTCACACAGCTAGTAAGTGTCATGTATCTGAGACTGGATTTGAACTCACATCCTCCTGACTCCAAGGCCAGAGCTCTATCCACTGCGCCACCTAGCTGCCCCTAATCCTAATTTTTCAAAGTAGTATGAAATGGGTCTGGGAAGGTAGGTGGAAGCCAGGTTGTATAAGGGCTTTAAATACCAGGTTGAAGAGTTTGCATTTTACCCTTGATGCCACCTAAGTTTTCTGAATAGGTGAGTGACAAAATCATGGAAAGGACCTCAGGGGCCATGTAGTCCAGCCTCTTAAATTTGCAGATGAAGAAACTGAGACCCAGGAAGTTTAAGTGACTTGTTCAAAGTCACATAGGTAGTAAGCATCAAAGGTAGCATTTGAACACTAGTCCTTAGACTCTAGTACCAGCACTCTTTCCACTGTAATAATGATAGCGGACGTTTACATAGTGCTTCTTATGTGCCAGGTATGTGCTAAGCACTTTATAGTTATCACTTCATTTGTTCCTCATAACAACCCTGGAAGTTATCTCTTATCATTTCCATTTTATAGAGGAGGAAACTGATGCAAACAGGTTAAGGGAGTTGTCCAGGGTCACACAACTAGTTAGTATCTGAGGTTGGATTTTGACTTGGTCTTCCTGACTTCAGGCCCAGTAGTCTATCCACTGAACCATCTAGTGGCTCCTGGGCCACACCTGTATTTTAGGAGTATGAATTCGATAGCCATGTGGAGGATGGGTTAGAGAGGGCAGAGACTGGCAGGAAGACTGAATAGGAGGATATTGTAATAGTCCAGGTAAGAGGTAATGAGGGGCCTGACCTAGATTGGTGGCCATGTGAGGAGACAGAAGTGGGAATGAATGGAGGGGATGTTGTAGAGGTTGGATCATTGAGACCTGGCAGTGCATTTATTGTGGGGAGGTATGCAAGAGGAGAGAATCAAGGATGTTTTACAGGCTGTGAAGAGAGGTTACTGGAAGAATAGTAGCACAGAAATCAGGAATTCTTCAAGGATGGGAAGGATTTAGGGAAAATAGCTGTTTTGAACCCAGGTGCAAGTTCTCCTAGCTGTATGACCCTGGGCAATTTTCCAAATTCCTGAACAGTTATCACTCTGCACTGACAGCAGGAATTTGCTCATCAGACTCTCCCTATGAAGTGATCACAGATTAGAAACAAAAATGAAATGTTTTGAACATAAGTCTAAGATGCCATTTGGACATCCTTGGTAAAGATGTTCAGGACTGAAATTCAGGAGAGATTGAAGGCTGGAAAAATATTTAGGGTTCAGCTGCATAGAGATGATAATAGAATGCTTGGGTGCAAAAGGGAGCATTGAGAGAGGAGAGAGAAGGCTGAGGACTGAGACTTCAGGGTTACCACAGTTAAAAAAAAAAAAAGGCAGGAAATACATGATCTATCAGATCTAGGAGAAGGGGCGTGGTCAACAGCACCAAAAGCAGAAAAGAGGATTGAGTATCACAAGGACTGAGTAAAGGTCATTGGATTTAGTAGTTAAGAAATCTTCAGTGGTATTCTTTTAGAGACCAGACAGTTCTGCTCTTCAGCCAATTAAAGGATCTGCTGTGTTATTCATACTTCAGAGAAGGCAGTTTACTTGCAAGGAGCAGGAATCTCCAAGTATCTACTCAGCTCTGACTCTTCCATGACCACTAGACAAACTATCAAGAAAGTAGCTTGTAACTTTTTAAATGCAAAAGTTTTTCCACTTCACCTGTTTTCAAAAATAGGGTTTCTTTTCTAATTAGGATACCTGGGACAAAATTTCCAATAGCCTTTCATTACTACAATAAGTATTCATTAAAGTACCTTTAAGACATGTCTGTCATCTTTACTAACTCATGGTACAGTGGAAAGAACACTAGACTTGGTGGGAGTCAGGAGTCTTGGCTCTGCCATTGAGTAGCTGTGTGACCAGGGACAGGTGACAGCTTCTCTAGACTTCAGGTTCCTCATCTGCAAGATGAAGGGCGTTAGGCTCTGTGGCCTGGAAGGTCCCTTCCAGCAGTAGAGCTGTGATCCTATGACATCTTCCTATCCTGAGGCTTTCAGCCTTAGGGAGAGCTTTGATATTTTTTCCTACCATTATGTTTGGGGTTTAGTTTCTGTCAGGGCAGGTGGGTAGATATGCCCTGGGGACTCATCGTTTTAATTTCTTCAGGCCAGTTGGAAGTTATCCTAGATAGACGCTTGATGCAGGATGACAACCGGGGCCTCGGCCAAGGCCTAAAGGATAACAAGAGAACCTGTAACCGGTTTCGCCTCTTGTTGGAACGACGTACCACTGCCAATAAGGTACCATTCCTGGGGCCCGTCTGAAACCATGAAAGTGCTCCAAATTGGTTTCCCAATCCCCAGCCTGGGGATGAGGGAATGAAGTTAGTATGTTTGAGTGGACTAAGGAGTGGGACCTGTTTCCGGGGTTGTGTGGTGGGGGCATGTCGATTTCTCATTCATCCCACTGCTGTCTGACTCTTCATTCTGCTAACCATCACCTTGCTGTCTTATATACTCCTTCTGATTTTCCATCTTTCTTCATTCCATAACTTACTTTGCCATCAGCCACTTAGCTTCTTTTCCAAACTGGCCTCTGCATTTAGGCATTTGGTCTTTCCCAGCAGCAGGAGCAGCAACCAAGAGGTAAAGTCCAGAAAAAGTAGTTTTTGTCTAGTACTAGCCAGTGGTAATTGTATCTGGAGCCCTGTCAAGTTCAGATCCTGTAGCAGAGTCCCTTGTGTCTGTGTGTAGGGGAGATAATTAGTACTAGAAGAGAGAAGATGCCTAGAGAGTAGTACCTTTTTTGTCTGGGGATGGTAGTCACTAGATGGGCTTGGGAGGAAAAATATCAGATATTAGTCAATTAGCATTTATTAAACATTGACTGTGTACTATGAATTGTGATAAAACCAGGATAGAATGTTTTGCAGTTATACCTGGATCAGGAGGAAAGGCAAGGTTATCTTAATAGAATGTAGCTGTATTTCTTCTCCCACCTACCATCACGTCAGTTGCCCTGCCTCACCCAGGTCTTGGTACTAACATTGCAGGTGCAAGATGGTCGCCCAACCAGCTTCCCATCTCTTCTTAGCCACCTGACTTCCATGCACCTAAACACACCAGTGATGGCCCTACCTGTGGCCAGGGAGCAGCCTGGAGGCCCTACCTTACGCTCATTTCAGCCGTTGGCCTCCTCACTTCCCTGTGACATTCACCTGCTCAACCTGAGAACCCTCCAAGCTGAGGTGAGCTCCCTTGTCCCACTTTTCAGCCTCTGATTTGCACTTTTTAAACCAGCCTTCTGTATTCTCACTCACTGCAACTATTTCCTGACCCATTCCTATCTTAGAAGTGACCTCCTATGTAGAGAGAAGTTCTTCGAGTTCCAAGACTGCATATTAGATCCCTTGTGTGCAGTGGTCCAAACACCCTGGCAGTATCCATACTCTAAACATCCCCTCCATTTCACAGGATGACAAATTACCCTCATCTGAGACTGCACTCATTCTACACCGAAAGGGTTTTGACTGTGGCCTGGAGGCCAAGAACTTGGGCTTCAACTGTACCACAAGTCAAGGCAAGGTGAGCATGAGACAGTATCAAACAGATATATGACACATGAGTCTATGTCAGCTGTTTGGCCTGGCAGACAGCTCATTTTGAGAAATGCCAAGAGGGAACCCAGGGATGGCTTAGGGAATAGCAAGGCAGGGGACAATTGGATAGGGATGAGGTAGGATGATGGAGTATGAAATGGAGGCCCATGTTCCAAGACTCCTTTGAAAGACAGGGGATGGGGCAGCTAGATGGCACAGTGGATAGAGCACCAGCCCTGGAGTCAGGAGGACCTGAGTTCAAATCTAGCCTCAGACCAAATACATCACACTTACTAGCTGTGTAACCCTGGGCAAGTCACTTAACCTCAACTGGCCTAAAAAAAAATAAGTCCAAAGACGGGATGAACAATATTTCATTGTTCTTGGAAGTCCTTCCACCCTAACCTCCCAAATGTACTAAAATAGGAATCTTTCATAGGCCAGATAAATCAAACATAGACATGCTGTCCACAGCTATTTTTATATAAAATCCTTGACAGACTTAATAACATTTAAAAAAAAAAACCTTGTGGCTGGTTGGGTAGATGAGGGGCAGGATATATTCAGAGATGAAGGTGATGTAAAAAAAAAGCTATACATAAAAACAAGTTTTAAAAGACCCCTAAGTGAAAGAATGGTTTATATTTGAGAATGTTTATATGCTAAGATTTACATCATGAGTATCTAGAACTAATCAGAACAGCTATAGCCAGAAGGAATCTTAGAAATCATCATGTCTCCAAGCACTTCATTTTACAGATGGAGAAACTAAGGCCCAGAGGTTAAGTGTTGAGGTTAAGCCCTAGCTCACAAAAGTAGTAAGTGGCAGAGCCAGGATTTAACCCCACGTTCTCTGGCTCCAACAATGTTCTATCTGGTATATGATGCTGTCTGTCACTTGGGTGCTTGGCTTATAGCGACTCTTCCTACAGGTGGCCCTGGGGAGCTTTTTCCAAGGGTTAGATGTGGGCTTCCTGCAGCCCACTTCATTGACATTACTCTACGCGCTGGGCTCGCCCTCTAACAGCATGGATGTCCACTTGGAGCCCATGGAGATTTCCACCTTTCGCCTCCGCCTGGGCTAGTGCTCTTCGTGGCCAGGAGAGGACATACATCCATACAGACCACCTTTCAGAATAAGGCTGGGATGGACAGCTACACCGAGTGCCCCAACTTACTCCACCTTCCCCAACTATAATAGACTGAGCTCTGCCTCGCTGTTCTCTATTTATTGTTGCTACAGTGTTTGGGGGGCTGCCCAGAAGCCCAGGATTAGACAGATGGGGCAAAATGCAGGTAGGCTCAGAAGTGAGAGGCTGGCCCTAAATGCCAGAGCAGACGGTGCTGGGCAGTGCCTTGAGGTGCATGAGTGGCTGCCCACTTGGACATGAGGTTCTTGCCACCGGTTCCTCTCCTGTCTCCCTACTGTTAGCTGTATGGGAGACCAAGAGCAGAAGTGTAGAGAAGAACTGAGTGAGGCAGCAGGGAGTGAGAGGTAATCTCTGCTCCTGTCTTGCTGCCCTGATTCAGGGGAGTAGTTGAGGCGGGTATGCAAGGAAAAGGGAATCATGATCCCTCCATCGGTCAGAGCTGGCTCTGAAATGAAGTACAGTGATTGTGTGGAGACCAGACACTTTGGTGTGATAACCAGGTCTAGATAAATCTAAGATGAGGATGTGTAAAAAGGAATCTGAGAACAGTTTTAACTTGGAAGAAAAGAAGGACTAATGGGGGTAAAGGGAAGATTTCTCTCTCTTTGGTATGGGAATCCCTAGGTGACCCGTTAGTTGCTAGGCCCAGCTACAGTAGATGCTGCCCTGGCCAAGGGGATCTGCATCAAGCAGGTGATTTTGTAGCAGTCGGTAAGAACCCTTTGTATGGAACTAAGACTGTGACTTTGCCAGAGTTCACAGGACACTTCAGGTAACAAAATTCATTTCAAACTAGTGACCTGGTCTGTGTGTTGCTTTGGGATCTGGTGGTGGTGGGTGGCCCTCAGTCTGCTGCGTAAGGTTTGGCCTTTCCCTGCTTGCTTGTCCAAGGTTTTCCATTTTGGTTGATGTATTTCTTAACGGGCCAGTGCGCCGTGGCCCCTTCCTAGGATCAACAACACTCTTCAAATACAAAAGGGGGCAGTACCTTACACTAGCAGAGGAGGATCATCATAAAGGTGATGTTTTCTCCAGAGAAGAAACTTTGAAGCTGCTCCATCTCCCTTCCTCCCCGCCCCGCCCCCCGAAATGCTTCAAACTATCATTCCAGAGTTTCCCTGATTGTGAGAAACAGCTGATCTTAGAAGCAATATGGCTGTTGGGACAGACTGGGGATGGAAATAAAGGTATGTGAACCTTTACACCAAGTAGGTCACCAGCAGTGTTTCTGAAAAGATTCTTGCCCATTTCCTCTCTAGTGATGGTACTTGCATTTCACCAAGGCAGATCCTTTCGTCTTTCACAGGTTCCCCAGGACCAGTAACAATGGGAGGCCTTGAAAAACAATTCTTCCAGCTTGTTGGGAGATTGATCTTTCCTCTAAATTCCAGGCTGAGACAGGTTTGAGCAGAGAGAAAGTACCTCTGAAGCCCCGATCAATGTCCTGAATTAGGGGTGGGTATGTTATGCTCCATCCAGGGACTACTCTTTCTGGGTACAGAAGTAACAAGCAAACTCAGGAAAGGTCTTGAAGAGGAAGTGGCACCTGAGCCATGCTTTGAAGGAAGTCAGACATTCTAAGAGGCCATGAATAGGGCTATGGTGACTAAGGCAGGAAACAGTTTTGAGATTTATGTAATGTGATAAGGACAGCAACATCTGTTCAGGCTCCCAGCCAAGAAAAATTTACCAAGTGGGGAACCTTGCCACAGAATAAATGTTTTGGAGAGAACTTAATATTCCATCACGGTAGGTAACAAAATACACAGGCAGTTCCTCAACCCCAGAAACATATAAAATACCTCAGCCAGCCATCCAACTTCCCTGTTCCACCTCACTGTGTTCCCATCTACCCTGGGGTGTACGCCACGGCAAAGGTAAGGGTTATACAGTCAATAACAACAACTAGCATTTTTATAGTGTCTTGAGGGTCACAAAGCACTGTACATTTGATAGCCCCCTAAGGTGGGCTGGGGAGATTCACTCCTTTCACGAGGTCCTAACAGACCTGCTATTACATCAGGCCTCTGTTACGAGGCCTCACTAGTCACTTAACAGTTAGACTTTCTAAAGCACAAACCCAAATACAATATAGCTGTGTTTCTTATTAAGAGTCTCTTTACGTGAGGCCATTTCAATATTTGTTATCTCTTAGACTTAGATTGCAAAAAGATGGTTCCTGGATAAGAGAGATCCAGTCCTGTGTTTCACCTGATTGGCTTCCATGTTCTATGGTCAAGAGAAAGCACTGGCCCCCAGCATCTGAAGACCCTGGCAGGAATTGCTGCCCTCCACTGGAAGCTGTGCCCGTCATCACCACAGCTTTGTGACCACATAGGGCAAGACTCCATCTCTCCCTCTTCCTAGAAGTCAGGTCCGCCATCAGTGAGTTCTGTGACCATCTGGGGAAGCATTTGTTGTTGTTGTTGAACATTTCAAGGTTGCTTTAATTACGACAGGAAAAGCTAATTAATGTTGGAAAGGAAAACAAAATAATCCTCTATTCCCATACCGTACTTTGTCTTCAAGAAGACGCAAGACGTCATGGGTACTGAAAATGAGTACAAGCCCAATCCAGAGCATCTGCTATGTGAAGATCCACCTTTTGCCTCCAATAAGTAAAATACCTAGCAGTGTGCATATATAAATGGGCACAAATGATTCATTACCAGTATATTTCATTCCTAAAACCTGAGGTACCACACTGTCTTCTGGGGAAACAATTACTGGCTCTCAGGATTAGTCCCTTCTCTCCCCTTCAGCCTCCTTTCTAATGTATTATTTGTAGAATCTTCATTTTCCTGCAACATCACTTTACTGAAAACTCTCTTCCCCTGATGTATCCTTCCAGACTCAAATCCCTTCTTTTCTGGGCCCTTCCCCCTCACTAGTCAGAGATAGCTAGGCAGCACAGTGGGCAGAACACAGGACCTAGGTCTAGGAAAACCTGAATTCAAATCTAGCCTTAAACACTTCCTAGCTGTATGACTCTGGGCAAAATCACTAAACTTATGTCTATTCAGTTTCTTCTGCAAAATGAGGGTACTAATAGCACCTACCTCCCAGGGTTGTTCTGAGAAGCAAGTGACAATTTCCAAAAGGCACTTTGCCAAACTGAAGGCACTATATAAATACTAGTCCCACTTCACCACCATCTGCTCTTCTTCTGAACTCCTGCCACAAAACACTTTAGAAGCGTGCTTTGTTAGAAACGAACCCCTTCAGCTCCCAGATGTTTCCGATTGCCTCCTTTATCTCTTAGCACTAAGTGAAACCTGGCACCTACCAAAAGAAAACTGTTCTTTCCCCTTGTTCTCAAGGCAGAAGGATTGGCTTGCTCCTTCCTTCCCTTTGCCACTTCCAGACCATTACTTCGTTGCTGTCAACCATCTCTCCTTTGAAGTTAATGCCATCCTGTTATATTTCTCTTTTGCTATTCTGATAGTCATCTATTAACCTCTAAGATACTCCCTACTTCCTGATTTGAACACCAGGCTCTGCCTTTCTTCTATATCTCTGCCATCAGCCTCAGCAACTTTAATATTCATATCAATGGCCCTTCAAAGATTCTGACATCACAGTCCCTCAGTGTCCTCAAATCCAACAGTGAGGCACTGCATCAGCCCAGAGGCAAGAGGAGAGAAAAGAAAGGAATAAGTAGCTGAACATTTGACTTCTCATGGACAGCAGACAGCATCTGTTTGTATGAGGGCTTTGGTAGGAATCTGGGAATTACAGACTAATTGCAGGACAGCAAGTGCAAAAAAAATATATATGTATATGCACATATACACATATATACACATACACATATGTGTGTATATGAGAAAATGTAGAAAAGCCCATTACAGATAGCCTTCTACTCAGAAGTCTCAAGTGATGGCATCTCCACTCCAATGAACAGATAGGCCAAGCCACCCAGGTGCCAGAAAATTGAGGTTTTCGATTCTAGCAAATGTGAGAAGAAAGGTGAATTTTATAGTAACTTGCAGAGAATTATCTATGTGTGTATTTCTGCCAGTGTCAAGTAATAGCTATGTATGCACAGAATGCAATTTGGTATCTTAAGAGGAAAACATAAAAGGGCTGGAGGAATATATTTCTACTTCCTGGAAGAATGAAGAATTCCTTAAGAAGATGAAAGAAGTGCTTCACAATGAAAACAGAAGAAAAGTAATCTGAAGAGGACAAGGGGAATCTTCACTTGCATCAGGAGGCTGGAAGAATGTAATAGAAAGGGGATGGACTACTCCACCTTGGAACTATGTAATAACTATGAGGATACGTAAAGGTAGGTGCTGTACCCTTTGAAAAGGAAGCCGCTTCTTGAGTATCTCGAATGATGTTGTGAATTCACAAGCATCACTAGGAGAGAAACCATCCAGTACTGGTCAGAGGAAGAAAAGATGTCATGGTGGTCAACTCTGCTGAGGGTTACCAAGATTGCCACATTTGACTTGACATGTACATCACAGAAGGATACCGTCTGACTGGGCCATTCATTGGGGACATGGATGATGGTCTCAAGATTGGTCAAACCTAATAACCACGATCCACTTCTGAAAGCGGCCTAGTCAGGGGCAGCTAGGTGACGCAGTGGATAGAACATTGTCTGACACTAGCTACGTGACCCTGGGCAAGTCACTTAATCCCAACTGGCTCAACAAAAAAACACAAAAAGTGGCCTAGAGACAAATAATTCCACTAGATGAAATCTAGAAAGCATTGTTAAGATTACAAAGTCCTATGCATGTAAATGAAGACTTTAGGGACATAGGTGGTACTTTCTCACTGCTTACAGTGGAAAGTACGGGCTTCAAGAAGACAAAGGCAGATTTGGGAGGTGAACACTTGATTAAGATGGTCTCTGAAAACAAGACTTGGACTTCTGTACCCTAAGATATAAGAATGATAATAAGCTCTTGGCCAGAGAAGGATTATATCTAACTATGACCAATAAAATGTATGTTTTCAGTCTTTTGACCCTGATGATAGGATCATAGAGCAAAAGGGACCTCCGAGGCCATCTGATCCAATCCCTTCATTTGCAGACAAGGAAACTGAGGCCCAAAGACATTAAGTGACTTGCCCAATGTCACACAGAAAGTGACAGACAGGATTTGAAGCCACATCCTCTGACTTCAGAGGTAGTAATCTTTCCACTGTACCACACTGCTTCAAGAAGACTTTAAATGAAAACATCAAGTCCAATACTAAGAAAGTAGCAAGTATAATCTAGGAAAAATCCTGGAAGAGAGGACCAACAATTAACGGGAGACAATATGCAGGAAGAGGAGCAATTACCAAACCTATTGTCTCGGATGTCTACATAAACACATAAAATATGGGAAAGAAACAGAGTAAACTAGAAATGCTAATTTTTTGTTGGTTAGTTTTTCTCAGTCCTATACAACTCTTCATGACCTCCTTTGGGGTTTTGGGGGGTTTGTTTTTGTTTTGTTTCTTGGCAACAATACTGAAATGTTTGCCATTTCCTTTTCCAGCTCGTGTTATGGATGAGGAAACTGAGGCAAACAAGATTAAGTGACGTGTTCAGGGACACACAGGTAGTAAATGTCTGAGGCCAGATTTGAACTCAGGAAGATGAGTCTTCCCGACTCCAGGCCCAGCACTCTATCCATTGTGCCACCTAGCTGCCACCAGAGATACTAATATAAGGAATAAATTAGATTTTGAAGGTATCACTGAGTCTGTGTGGAATGGAACTCATGGCTGGCTCTGAAAGGGCATGCCTCATATAAAAGGAACAGAAATAGATAAATGGGGTAGTAGAGA